GAGAATACATCTATGTGGTATGTGTGCACCACATAAAACAGATCCTGCAGCACACTGTGTATAATGAGAGGAAAAAAACTGAAATCATGATTTTTCGATTAAAACAGTGACTTTGCAGTGTTTTTTCGTATGTTTTTTATAGTTGTATTTGCGATTTCTTGGTCTCATTTGATAGAATGGAAGACATATTACAGAAATAGAGATGATTTTGATTGGTTTTAGCACTGGAAATGGCTTGAAACTGAGCTCAAAGTAGCGGAAATGTTAAATTTTTGCCGATATTCAAGAGTAAACAAACGACCTCACACATCTAATACACGTCAGCTGGTGGGTCTAATATACATTCGCAAATATGGTGATATATTTATACAATTATTACAGTATTGCATAACAGTAAATCTTCTATTTTTTGGTGTGAATAAAAATTCATTATGTGAATAAAAATCAAAATGGAATTTATTTGTAAACCCTCAAAATGTAACTAATGAACAGAGGAAATGTTAGTTTAGTGCCAGGAATACCTAAAATTGTTTATTCTGGACCCAAATTTTGAAAAGTGGAATATTTTGAACTTTGTGTTAAATTGGCCAATTAACATTTCCGATCACTTTTTTTTGTAGTTGAAACAATTGACTTGGCGATTTTTGTGCTCAATCGATAGAATAGAAGTAATATAGTGAAATAGCTAAGAATTTGGTTGTTGGAATAATGTAATTGGCCTCTAAAATGGGAGTCAAAGTCGGCAAAATCGCCGATTCGTAAATATCGCTGACAAAATCAAAATTCACGAGAGCATAATTTCGTCAATTTTCCACCAAATTTCGTACTTTTTGTTTTATTACCTTCACAAAAAGATTCTCTACGATTTCATAAGAAAAAAAAAACAATTTTTTTTTTTTTTAAATTCTTGGACACTGGTGCGTGACTTCAGATTTTGGCCTTGGACCTGAAAGGGTTAAAATCGGGCATAATTACAGATAATACCACAGACCACTACCCTATTTTCCCTCATAACACTCTTGGTAAAATACCCCAAGACACTACAAAGTCACCTTCAGACTTCACAATGAGGCAGCCATTAATAACTTCACAACAGCAGTAACAAACATTGACTGGCACACTGAGCTAGAAATCTATACAGATATTGACGAATGTTTTAATAATTTTCTAAAAAAGCCCCAATACCTCTATAACAAGCACTGCCCTAAAAAAACTAAACAGATGACAGCTAAGAGACTGAACAGTCCCTGGCTAACACCCAGCATTCTCAAATCCATAAATACAAAACACCAATATAAAAAAACAGTACAGAATGGTCACATAACAAGACCAAACAAAATGTTACTCGTCAATCCTAACCAGCCTGATAAGAAGGGCAAAAAAAACTGTTTTATGAGAACAGATTATCCAACTTACGAGGTTGATATAAAAAGACCTGGAAGACCCTATCAGAAATTCTGGAAACAAAAAAGATATCACGAAATAGCGAAAAAAAATTTAGCTAAATCAGATGAACCCCAACTCCCACCAACAAAACAGCAACAGACTCAATGTTTTTCTTCTCCACTATAGGACAAAACCTTGCCAAAAAAATCCCAAGCTCAGATACCCCCCCAAAAATGACTACTCACTGGCAACTACCCAAACCCACACTGTTCCTAGCTCCGACTAACCCAAAACGAATCTCCCTTATTATCAACACACTAAAAAACAAGGCGGGGAGATTTAAATACCTTACACCCTTTATATACAAAAAAGTGTCAAAAGTACTATCACCAATCATTGAAAACCTCTTAACAAATCCATTGAATCCTCCACCTTCCCTACAGCTCTCAAAATAGCAAGGTCACCCGATCCACAAAGGAGGAGACCAAACAGAGTTGAATAACTATAGGCCAATATCCAATTTACACCCTTCTCAAAATCTTCAAAAAATTTAATTCATAAACGAATCTACTACCTCATCTCCCAAAACATTCTCAACCCCTGCCAATTTGGATTCAGGCCAAAATAAAAATACTAATGATGCTATTATACACATGCTAGAACATAATATACACTGCAATAGAGAAAAGAAGTCCCATGGATTTCAATGATTTACGTAAAGCTTTTGATACAGTTGACCATGACTTCCTCCACGTAAAATTGTCACACTATGGTATTAGAGGGCACTCCCTCAACTACCTCAAGTCATACCTCGCAACAGAAGCCAATATGTGTATGCAAATGGGGGCAAGCTCTTCCGCTAAACCCAATTACAGTTGTGTTCCCCACAGGGAAGTGTCCTTGGCCCTCTTTCTTTCTCCTATACATAAATGACCTACCAAATGCTTCGCAATTACTCAAACCCACACTTTTTGCAGATGACACTACATACGTCTTCTCTCACCCGAGCCAGTCACGCTAGCCAATACTGTAAACACCGAATTACAGAAAATATCTACCTGGATGAGGACTAACAAACTTACACTAAACATTGACAAAACCTACTTCTTCAGTTTGGAAACAGAGCTACAGATGTACCTTTTAACATAACGATAAACAGATCACCTATCACAAAGCTAACAGAGGGAAAATTCTTGGGAATCCACCTTGATAATAGACTCAAATTTCATACACATATACAACAAATTTCAAAGAAAATTTCCAAGACTGTAGGCATACTATCGAAGATACGGTACAAATGTTCCACAGTCAGCCCTCCTGGCCCTTATCACTCTCTTATTTACCCCTATCTCACCTATAGAATTTGTGCATGGGCTCAACAACAATTAACCATCTCAGACCACTAATTACCCAACAAAAGGCTGCAGTTAGAATGATAACAAATTCTCACTACAGGCAGCACACTCCACCAATATTCAAAACACTCAACCTACTCACCATACAAAACATCCATACTTATTATTGCACCTATTACAATACATAGAACACTTAACTCTGATATTAACCCTCCCCTCAAACATCTTGCCAACCTCAACAGAACACATGACCATAACACAAGGCACAGATCACTCTTTGATGTTCCTCGTGTCCATCTCACGCTATGCAAAAACTCAATGCACATAAAAGGCCTAAAATCTGGAATTCATTACTGTAAATATAAAAGAAACACTACTGTTTATAAATTCAAGTCTCTTCTCAAAGATCACTTACTCACTCAAAACCAAATAAATACTGAATAACTGAACCTTATAAATTGTATATCCTATATGTTACTCACAATTATATCACACAAATGTTAAACCTAGAACCCAATCTAACTTTGTTATTTTTTTTTAAATACACTACCTAACAGAATACTCCATTCAACTGAATGTACAGCAATGCATGCAACCATATGACCTGTCTTTGTAATACTCATTTGTGCTTTATAGTTATCTGTTTACAATAATGTTTTATCACTGATTTCATCATTGCTTAGTTAATCTTAAGTTAATTTTAAGCCAGCCCGTAATGCTATGCATATAAGTGGCTTTGGCATGCTGCTCTTACCTGTATTTTTTGTATCTCTGTATGTATGCTTAAATTACTAAATAAATAAATAAATAAATAAAAAGTTCCTCTATAGACAGGCATAGTGTCTACCTACTAAGGCTTGTAGGACCCTATGCCTAGCTCTCATATAATGTCATGTAGACTTCTTATTCTTCATGGTGCTCTGTTTAAAAAAAAAAACTTTATGACTACAAAATCACACAGAACAAAATGGCAAGATTCATCCTGGACCTTGGTCCAAGAAAGCATATAGGCCAGGATGAATTACAACTGGGTAATCTGAATGTTGAAGACATAGTAAAGCAAGTGAAGTTAATTAATGTCTATAAAATTGCTCACAAGCAGTGCCTAGAATACCTCACTGTTAATTTTGTCAAGATTAGAAACCAAACCAGTATAGGGAAGTGAACATAATTTTGTAGTATCTACAGTAGGTGGTCAGACCTTGAACGCCTTTCATTATACAGCAATCAATGAGCAGAACCAATTGCCTGAACAGGTGAAGGGCAGTCTTAGCATGAGCCACTTCTGGAAAAGAACTAAAAGGTTCCTAATTAAGCTACAGAAAGGGAGGAAAGTGATTTCTTGTTTAGTTAACATTTGTGCACTTATTATATTAAGCTGATTTTCTCTATGTAAACTACCAAGTTCACTTTATTCCTATTGTACCTTGTTGATTCTAACATTCTGATACGGCTGAGCTTCTTGGTTTTAATTTTTTATGGTTATAATCATAAATAGTTTCTATCTTATTACTAGGCTGCTTAAAAGGTATTTCAAAGACCTCAGTGTAAACCATTCACACTTTTTTTTTTTTTGGGGGGGGGGGGTTATCCTAGGTAATTTACACATTATTATGTATGATAATTGTAATCACTTAAATGTGTGTAATCGTACCTAAATTAATTGACTTACCCAGTCCCACTCACCCCCATCCAGCTGTCACACCCCATGCAGCCACACCCCATGCAGCCACATCCCATGCAGCCACATTCCACCCAGCTGAGCCACACCCCATGCAGCCACATTCCACCCAGCTGAGCCACACCCCATGTAACCACATTCCATCCTATTCAGCCGCACCCAATGCAATCACATTATAGCCATCTCAGCCACACCCCACCACCCATGCAACACCTCATCCAGTAGTCCATCCCACACAGGTCCACCGTCCGCACCCACAATATGCTGCCAACTCCGGCAAGCCTCTAGTACAACTCGAAGGGTGTTCACACCTCATCACCCATTTATCCCCACATGGTGTTTGCTCCTCGTCTCCCATCCCACATAAGCGCCGGGAGAAGCATCACACGTGGGCATGTCCACACGTGGTGGAGGCACCATCATCACCACGTCAAGCAGCCAGACAACACACCGCCCCGGTGGCCGCACCTCCCTCCTTCAACCCTGTGCTTCATCTTCCCCTTCAGAGCCTTGTCACCTCTGCCTGGTACTGCCTACACCACCCCAGCAACTCTCTAGGGCTGCCCCAGCACACTTACCTCCTGTATGACGGCATTGTCAGGCACAAGAAGCTTGTTTAGTATATCGTTGAGCGTGTTGGTCATGGCGGTGGTAGTGTGTGACATGTGACGCTGCTGCCACTACTGCTCCTGCTGTTGTGTGCTGCTGCTGCTGCTGCTGTTCCTGCTGCTCACAACACTCCCAGCCTACAACCACCCGCCATATTCAAACATAAATAAAATATATAAAACTTAATAACTCACAAACTTTTTATTTAGATATTCCGTACAGTGAGTGCTCTTGGTGTAACACAAGGACCACCAACGGGACTAAGTCATTTTGGCTTACTTTCTTTGGGTTAACCTAGGTAATTTACACTACTCGACTCAAGAAATCGTAATGACACGATTGCAAACAAACGGGCTGGAGTTTTGAGACCTATGACCACGGGTTCAATCCCGGCCGGGGGTATGGTTAATTTACACTAAGTATGATTGTATTTATTTGTACCTGTGCCTCCCCTCAAGGAAGGTTCCTTGATGTTGGTGAGGGGCTCTTGATTTAGGGAATTGGATCTGTGCTCCAGTTCCCCGAATTAAGCCTGAATGCCTTCCACATCCCCCATCCCCGGGCGCTGTATAATCCTCCGGGTTTAGCGCTTCCCCCTTGATTATAATAATAATAATGTACCTGTGCCTAGATAAACTTACTTAACACATGCTAATAGCACACACATATATGGTGTATTTTGTAGATTTAACCAAGAATAATCCCCCCACCCCATGAAGTCAAACTATTTCTAATACATTACAAATTATATTAGTATAAATTATAATTTATATTAATACATAAGCTTTAATTATAAAAAAATATAGTAAATTATTGTCCAGTGCACCTCTGTATTCTTCCTTGATTGTTATTATCTAAAAATACATGTAACCTAATTAACATCCAGGTTCATGTATTATTCTCACCACTATATTTCAGCTCAGTTTTTATTATAACCAAAAAGGGCAGTCACTATACATTACTGTCTATCCATGACAGTTTACTGTCACTCCATGAGTCTACTTGTGGAAAATTGCATTTATCTGAATGTAACTAATTATGTACATAACAGTAAATGATAACAAAGATAATTATTATTTATCAATGTTACATAGACAAGTAGGAATTTGGGACACCTAGGTCGCAAAAAATGTCCCCCTTCGATACCTACCACTGTCATAACCACAAGTTGCTCTGGACCTATTAATTACCAATGAAATATGTATAACCAGGAATACTGGTAAATATATAAATTTTGTGGACTGTATATTAAAAATAATAAATGGTTATATATATACACAATTAACAGAAGGAAAATATCTTAATATCACTCACCAATTTGACTGGAGATTAATGTGTATCATACTCAGAAAACCTCACTCTAACTAAATCTATGAAAATAATGCTGCCCAGAATTACACACAGATCTAGAGAGCTTATCTGAGGTTCCTGGAGCTGTCTTGTCCAGTCGTCTGATATCTCAAGTTGTGCAGGAATGCATATCCACCAATTTCGCCTCCTATTTGAGAGGTGTCAGCACAATTTTAACCTCTAGAGCACGAAAAATTCTTCCCCATTCACCGTTTCTAATACAAATTCAAAACCAAGATGGCGAGTCCCCTCTGCGCAGACACAGGCTTTCCGTTTTCTATGACATAAATATTATTAAAAATAGAGCGAAACACCAACGTCAAAGACCTGGGAGTGATTATGTCGGAGGATCTCACCTTCAAGGACCATAACATTGTATCAATCGCATCTGCTAGAAAAATGACAGGATGGATAATGAGAACCTTCAAAACTAGGGAGGCCAAGCCCATGATGACACTCTTCAGGTCACTTGTTCTATCTAGGCTGGAATATTGCTGCACTCTAACAGCACCTTTCAAGGCAGGTGAAATTGCCGACCTAGAAAATGTACAGAGAACTTTCACGGTGCGCATAACGGAGATAAAACACCTCAATTACTGGGAGCGCTTGAGGTTTCTAAACCTGTATTCCCTGGAACGCAGGAGGGAGAGATACATGATTATATACACCTGGAAAATCCTAGAGGGACTAGTACCGAACTTGCACACGAAAATCACTCACTACGAAAGCAAAAGACTTGGCAGACGATGCACCATCCCCCCAATGAAAAGCAGGGGTGTCACTAGCACGTTAAGAGACCATACAATAAGTGTCAGGGGCCCGAGACTGTTCAACTGCCTCCCAGCACACATAAGGGGGATTACCAACAGACCCCTGGCAGTCTTCAAGCTGGCACTGGACAAGCACCTAAAGTCAGTTCCTGATCAGCCGGGCTGTGGCTCGTACGTTGGTTTGCGTGCAGCCAGCAGCAACAGCCTGGTTGATCAGGCTCTGATCCACCAGGAGGCCTGGTCACAGACCGGGCCGCGGGGGCGTTGACCCCCGAAACTCTCTCCAGGTAAACTCCAGGTAAATACAGTATGGTCATCTATTTACATATAAATATTGAATTTCTGGAAAATATATACAGTATTTTCCACACTACTGTCTCTCCATGACAATTTGCACTACTGTCTCTCCCTGACAGTTTGCACTGCTGTCTCTCCATGACAGTTTGTACTGCTGTCTCTCAATGACAGTTTGTACTACTGTCTCTCCATGACAGTTTGCACTGCTGTCTCTCCAAGACAGTTTGCACTGCTGTCTCTCCATGACAGTTTGCACTGCTGTCTCTCCATGACAGTTTGCATTGCTGTCTGTCCATGACAGTTTGCACTGCTTTCTCTCCATGACAGTTTGCACTGCTGTCTCTCCATGACAGTTTGCATTGCTATCTGTCCATAACAGTTTGCACTGCTTTCTCTCCATGACAGTTTGCACTGCTGTCTCTCCATGACAGTTTGCACTGCTGTCTTTCCATGACAGTTTGCACTTCTGTCTCTCCATGACAGTTTGCACTGCTGTCTCTTCATGACAGTTTGCACTGCTGTCTCTCCATGACAGTTTGCACTGCTGTCTCTCCATGACAGTTTGCACTGCTGTCTCTCCATGACAGTTTGCATTGTTGTCTGTCCATGACAGTTTGCACTGCTTTCTCTCCATAACAGTTTGCATTGCTGTCTCTCCATAACAGTCTACATTACTGTCTTTCCTTAACAGTTCATATTCCCGTCTCTCCATGACAGTGAACATTACTGTCTCTCCATGACAGTTTACATTACTTTCTCCATGACTGTGTACAGTACTGTTTCTCCATGACAGTGTACATTACTGTCTCTCCATGACTGTGTACATTACTGTCTCTCCATGACTGTGTACATTACTGTTTCTCCATGACAGTGTACAGTACTGTTTCTCCATGACAGTGTACATTACTGTCTCTCCATGACAGTGTACATTACTGTCTCTCCATGACTGTACATTACTGTCTCTCCATGACTACATTACTGTCTCTCCATGACTGTGTACATTACTGTCTCTCCATGACTGTACATTACTCTCTCCATGACTGTGTACATTACTGTTTCTCCATGACAGTGTACATTACTGTTTCTCCATGACTGTGTACATTACTGTTTCTCCATGACTGTGTACATTACTGTTTCTCCATGACTGTGTACATTACTGTTTCTCCATGACTGTGTACATTACTGTTTCTCCATGACAGTGTACATTACTGTTTCTCCATGACAGTGTACATTACTGTTTCTCCATGACTGTGTACATTACTGTTTCTCCATGACTCTGTACATTACTGTTTCTCCATGACTGTGTACATTACTGTTTCTCCATGACTGTGTACATTACTGTTTCTCCATGACTGTGTACATTACTGTTTCTCCATGACTGTGTACATTACTGTTTCTCCATGACAGTGTTCATTACTGTCTCTCCATGACTGTGTACATTACTGTCTCTCCATGACTGTACATTACTGTCTCTCCATGACTGTGTACATTACTGTTTCTCCATGACTGTGTACATTACTGTTTCTCCATGACAGTGTACATTACTGTCTCCATGATAGTGTACATTACTGTCTCTCCGTGACAGTTTACATTACTGACTCTTCATATCAATACATTGTATTAAACTTAGCGTTCAAACACTTTAATCTTAACGATGCATTGTTAAGTAATTTTGAGTACCAAGTTTTAAAACACTCTTAGTATGCCAGAAATGTTTTGCGTAAACACTAGCAATTAATTAAGTAGACTTATATTCCATGCCACTTATTGTTTGTTGCTTTGGAAGTAAAGATCTCAATCTCGCTGCTGCAACAAGACTCTATTGCAAAATTACTGTACATTAAGAACATAGAATAATGTGAAGGTCCACGGGAGGACCGTCATACACAGTCATCATTCCCACTAAACTCTCCCTGGTTGGTCTAGTTGCAACACTTCACCATAAAACTTACATTCCAGACAAAACTTCATCTCGTCTTAAAACCTTCGTTGTAATTGTTTTAAGGGTCTAATACATGATATTAATAGGAACTTAAAAAAATAGATACAAGTTAGAAGATAATTCATAGTTTAAAATGAAAAAAAAATACAAATGTCACGTTATCAAACACTGATTGGTACTAGTTAATGGAATTACACAATATAATGATATACAAGTTGACTGAAGATTGTTTCTGCAGACGAGGATATAGGGAGTTAAAAACAAGGATAATACTGTGTAAAATTCTTGAATAAACAGCTTGGTCTGAAAAAATTATGATACAATATATGGTTAGTTAGTTTAATATGTTTATTATGCACCCCATACCCATCCTGTGCCTCACATATATGGGAGAAGAAAAAATGCGGAAACTAAAAATGCAAGAGGATGAGAAGTGGAACAAACAGATTTCAAGAGTTGTTTGACAAAGTATCTTGCTGTTAGGAATCACATTAAGTTTCAGCAGTTTTAGTCCCACCCGTTCTGTGATTTACACATATTTATGCCAAAACAAAACTACTGTACTATACCGCAAGAGGCCTGGTGGAAGTAAAAAACCTTGTTTGACTTTGCTAGTTATCCTAGGTTAAATTCTATATAATTCACTGTGTGAAATCATTATAAAAAATAAATTACGTATAAAATCTAAATGAAAACTTAATTGCATTTACAATCAGAATTATGGCAACTGCTAAACTCTTGCAGCTGCTATCTAATATTTTCACTTACGAGTGTTC